TGACCTAGCTCACACTAACTCAGGTTAGAGGGAACATTGGCTGTGACTCAACTGATGGTCGGGAAGCATCTGGATGGGTTTGTACTCTGTTCTGGGGTAGACGGATTTTAAAAAATCTGTATAATTTAGGCAGATTTAGCTCCAGTAACCTGGTGGCTTTTTGAAAAGCTTTGCCTTCTTGTTCTTCTGAATAACTGTGTTATGTAAGCTGACAACTGCTGTTGGCGTTAACCCGCATTCCTTCTGAGAAGACGTGCAGGAACGCTGCTTAACTCCTTACTGCTTTGTCATGCTCTTCTGTGGCTTTAAAGTGTGGCTGAGAGGCGTGAGCTTCGGGTGGCTTCATTGAAACCCAGGCCCAAGGCGGCCCCAGAGTTCTGGGTTCAAGGGTTGCCTCCCCCGTGAGCTTGGGCAGGCAACCTTTTCAGTCCTCTGGTTGTGCAAGCCAGAAGTGGTGGTGCACTGGAGTATTTTATGAAATCATGGGATATATTTTTTTCCTGTAAAAATGGGCCTCTGTGTTTAATAGTAATCAAGCCTCTGTCAGTGATTGGCTGTGCTCCTGTAGTGTCACAGACGGGCAGTGCAGACCAGAGAGCCCCATTGGCTAAACTGCTGTGACCCTACAGAGAGAACCAATGGGGGAGGCTATGAAGGGAAGGGAAATTTTGCAAGGGAGGGAAATGTGAACAGGCAGAAGCTACAGGATTGCAGGCAGTCTGAAACGAACAGCTTCAAGGAAAAGTGTATTGAGAATGGCCAATTGGTTAAATTTAATGTGATACAAATTGGGAAGTCCCTGATTTGAATCTCTGCAGTACGGGAATATGCTGGTAATACTGGCCAGATTTAAAGGGATGCTGTCTGGATTATGTCGACAGAGAGTGTGGGTGGTAGTGTTTTGAAGCAATATAAATGCTCACAGCGAAAAACTGGAAATAGCAGCTCTCCATCCCTGTCTTCTCTCCCAGCCAAAAAAAGCTCAGAACTAGTGTTGGGGGGTGGGGGGTGGAACCAGCGTGATGATGTGTTTCAGATATATTTTCCACTATAACTTTTCCACCAGTTTTGGAGAGGCTCCACCCCCAAAATCTCCAGGTATTTCCCCACCCAGAGCTGGCAACTGTACCAACTTGTTTTCCCTTCAGCCACACAGCAGCTGCGAACAGCGTTGTAAAGGTCTACAGGGGTCCGATTCGTCTCGGGAGGATGGCCACGGCTTGGCACGACGACGCTCCCTCCTTCCCTCCCTCCCTCCCTCCCTCCCGCATGCTGCATTCCCAAGATGAAATGGCCCCAGGAACTGCAGTTCCATAACGGGTTGGGTAACTACCCTCTGGGGCTGTTTCAGTTTGGGGAAATGGCGTGGGGGGAGGCAGGGCCCCCTTCTCCACCGTGATCCTGAGCCAAATCGCGCCCCCCCCCCGACTTTTAAAATGCTGCTCCACCTGGGGGTGGGAGCAGGTTTTTTGGGAAAACCCAGACCCGAATTGTTAGAAAACATAATGGGTATTAAATCCATTGCTTTTGGGCTTAGAGAGATGTAACTCCACTTAGACCTCTGACGTTAGTGTCTTAAGAAAGTGACTTGTGATTTGGCAGGTCCCTAGTTCAGATATTACCTCCACCTGCCGTCAGCAGTGTGGGGATAATTTTCTTAGCCTCTTCCAACAGGGCTTTTGTCAGGAGTACAAATATGTGTTGAAATGGTGTTTTGAGCACTTGAAAGCACGAAGCAGGAGCTTCTACCACTGTGGGTTTTTGTGAGTTTTTGAACTGGGTTTTGGTGTAGTGGTTAAGTGCGCGGACTCTCATCTGGGAGAACCGGGTTTGATTCCCCACTCCTCCACTTGCACCTGCTGGATGACCTTGGGCAATCCATAGTTCTGTCAGAGGTGTTCTTGAAAAAGAGCAGTTTCTGTCAGAGCTCTCTCAGCCCCACCTACCTCACAGGGTGTCTGTTGTGGGGAGGGGAAGGGAAAGGAGTTTGTAAGCCGCTCTGAGACTCCCTTGGGTGGTAATAATAATAATAATAATAATCTTTCAATTTATTGGTCGCTCAATCCTGCAGAGCTTGCTGGCTCTGAGCGATTTACAGTTACTCATTTTTCACGAGGGACTAACAATGCTTTGTGGGGTAAGGGAGGACAACATATATACATCTTAAATTGCACACATTCACAGCCGACGAGATTGATGGTGTCAGCTTTTCTCCAGACTCCTTGAGTTGTAGTGCCACACTGCCATCGCCTGGCCGGACGGCTCATTACAGGCTTTTCTTCACGCCGAGGAGATATCTCTAGGCTTTCCATCATGCGAGCTGGACTTCCGTTCGCCGGCTAACACCGCTCCACCTCACGAGGTTCAGTGTGCCCACTCTCTCTAAGGAGTGGTACCCATTTTATCTACTCGCCGAAGCTTTCAAACCGCTGGGTAGACGGCGACCTGGGGACAAGGCTGGCAGCTCACACCAGCGCGGGGCTAGAACTGACAGCAAGCCTATTCAGCTCAGATGTTACTATTATAACCAGAGGATAAAGGGTGGGGCATAAATCCAATCTCTTCTTCTCTCTCCTTCTTCTTTGGTGTGTGGTTTTGATGCATTAGCTAACTGCGTCCTGTTGTGGTCTCTCTCTTTGTTTTGGAAACTTAGCTGTCTCGAATATATGGCTAATGAGAGAGGATGGAAGTATTTTTTTTGTTTTGCTTGTGGTGTTGGAAGAAACAGCAGTCATACAAGGAAGGATGTTTAGTCAGGGTGTACGTGAGTTTCCCTTCTGAAGGAGAGGTCAGGTTGCTGGTGTGTTTCTTACAATTACCACCCCCACGTGCCCTGTTGCAAGAGATTTTGGGGAGTGGTGACGGTACTTGATGTGGGCAGCCAGGATGCAGCTGAGATTGCATCCAGTCATCAGACACGATCCCTCACTCATATAGGGGTGGGGGAAATCCATAAGATGAGCCCTGCTGGGTTAGGCTGAAGAGCCAACAATAGCAAAAACACTGTGAAATACACGACGTGAATGTTCTCGATATCAAACTGCAAAACGTACCAGTAAATCATGATCAAGATGTGAAAATCAAGTATTGTAGAAGATTCACGTCTAAGAAAATCATGATCAAAATAATCAGGAAGAGTCAGTCAAGAAGAGTCACACGAGGATTGCGGATATAAAACACCTCGTTTCGGTAAACTTCTTCGATGAAACTAGAATCGGTTTCAGCAGTAAATAACAACTGCAGTTATTATGTAACAACCTTTAAAGGTGGCAACATTTCCAAAAGTAGTCGTTTGTCTGCATGTGTTCTTGTATGGGCACCCTTCAAAATGTAAAGCTGAAAATCAATCAGAAATCTATACGTAATATGCAACAATACGCAACTGGATAAAATTTGGCTTTCATCTAGCGATAAATTAATTCAAAAACTTTATAGATTCTTATTAGAAGACTATAAATTGGATGAAAACATTAAAACTGTCATGATTTCATGGATGCAGGATATGGCCAAGGTGCTAGAATCTGAGCAGTGGGATAAAGTATGGAAAACTGCTAAATTTATGAGATCCATTTCATATAAAGAAAATATATACAAAATGTTCCATAGATGGTATTGGTCCCCGGACAAAATTGCAAAATGCTATCCACAAGTATCCAACAAATGTTGGAAATGTAAATCTAATGTGGGGACTTTTATCATATGTGGTGGAGTTGTGGTAAAATGCGTAAATACTGGAAAATGGTACAAAGTATTATTTTTGAGATATTAAGTCTAGATGTCATGTTAGCACCTGAAACTTATTTATTGAATGTAACTCCGAAGGGATGTATTAAACAAGATGCATATTTGTTAGTATATATTTGTAACTGCTGCAAGAATTTTAGTGGCCAAAAACTGGGAAACAGATAAAATTCCCTCAAAAGAAGATCTAATAACTAAACTCCTTGAGTTAGCGCAAATGGACAATTTGAGTTTAATTTTGCAAAATAAAGACCAAAAGGTACAGAATACAAGATGGACAAAGGTTTATAACTGGATAAAGCATGTAAGAATAGAATAAAGGGAAAGTAAAATGGGATATGTATATAATAGTAAAATGATATGCAAATAGATATAAAGACTCTAAAAATGTGTGTAATCTGAAATACTGAAATGTTTGTAATTTAATTCAAAATATATAAAATAAACGTGGGGAGAAATCTATCTAATGGTGGTATAGCCTCCTTAGAACATTTATGGCATGTATTTCACAGTGTTGTATATGTTTCTTTAAATAATAATATATTTTCACATTTATCACTATATTTAGCATTTCATTACAGTGTTTTTGCCATTGTTGGTTCAGTATATGCACTGTTCTCCTCCTTGTGACTACTACTGTTAAGGGTTAGACTAAAGGGCATTCTAAGCCTAGCCTCCCATTTCCAACCTACAAGTCAGGCATCAAGGTGACAGTCCTACTCACTCTTTGCCCCCAGTGCCTGGTATGTATGAACATGAAGGTCCTATTTAACTTCCTTGGCTGATTACATCCATCTAAGTCAGCGGCCGCCACCAGAGGTTGTGGCAGTGATTTCCACCAGCCAAATCAGTAAGAATTCTGATAAGAAAAAGAGATTGGATGTATACCATGCCCTTCACTCGGAGTCTCAGGGGGACTTATAGTCTCCTTTCCTTCCTCTCCCCACAGCAGACACCCTGTGAGGTAGGTAGGGCTGAGAGAGTTCTGAGAGAACTGCTCTCGAGAGAACAGCTCTGAGCGAGCTGTGACTGACCCAAGGCCACCCAGCTGGCTGCATATGGAGGAGTGAGGAATCAAACCCGCTTCTTCAGATTAAAGTCTTAACCACTACACCAAACTGGTTTGGGAGATAACTTGTAAGCACGTACCTCTGGTCGACCTAGATTGTTAACCTGTTAATGTTTAGATGGGTAACATTTTTGACATCTTAAAGGTTAAACAAAGCTGACACTCCCCTGCTTTCTGTCTCCCTTTTCAGCTTCTCAGCCACCAAGAGGACAGCGTCGACCCCGTAAGAATTTTCCTCTGCGTAGGGCCTGGAAGCTTCCGATTCCTCGAGCATGATAATAGACATGTTCCTCTTAGCCGCCATCATCGGTCTCTTGACCTACTGGTTTTTCTTCCGCAAGAAAAAAGAGGAGGTCCCAGATTTCACAAAAATCCAGCCGACAACGTAAGTGGTTGACATGGGGATGGGTGGTTTGAGCAGTTAGAGGAGGTCTGGTTCATTGCAAGCAGGGCCGGCTTGCTCACTAGGCGAGCTAGACTCTCGCATAGAGGGCGGGGCCATCATGGGGGCGCTGGACTGAGCCACCCTCCCCCTGCCAAAAGCCCCCCGCCCCCGCCAAAAGCTCGCGTCGCACGCCCTGGCCACCGCCGCCTCTTTGCCCGGCCCCCTGCATGACTTTCTGGGTGCATGCTGTTTCAGCGCGCCCCTTCGCTGCCCCTAGAGCAGCGGGAAGGCGCTCTTTAAAGTGTAACCCCGGCCAGCGGCGGTGGGGCTGCTTTCCTGGCTTTCCTGGCGGGGGCACCTGAAGCCCTCCCATGGCGGGTGCAACCCCAGCGCGCCTCCGCAGCCCGCGTCGGATGTGTTCTATGGCCATGTCGAGCCTTTCTGCACCTCCTCTGTAGCCGCTTCCAAGGCGCCCTTCGGCCCTGTGCTGTCGGTCTACCTGGCAGCGGTGGCAGTCCTGCCGCAGCAGCAGCTTGGTGTTGGGGGCACTTCCTCCTCCCCCCCTGGTGAGGGGGGGTGCTACAAGGCAGCCTTGCCGGGGGGGGGGGGGGCGCCACAAACTAGCCTCGCCTAGTGCTCAAGAAAACCTCAGGCCGACCCTGATTGCAAGGTCCATTGCAAGGTGGTTCTGTGGCCATGCAGAAGGTTCCAGATTCAGTTTTCAGCAACTCGCTTGTCTGCTGTTGGGGAAGGCCCTTGACTTCCTGAGTTCCCAGAGAGCCACTGCTGGTCTGAGAAGACAAGATTGAGTTAGGCAGGCAGATAGACTGCCTTGGCAGAAGGCAGCTTCATGTGGACAAATCTGAAGGACATATTTATGTGTACGTATGTATATATACTTAAAATGCAGACTTGATTGAACAAAAAAGTTGCATTAGTCATCAGTGAGTTTGTTACTCCTACTGAAGTAGGTTAACCATTATTGTGAAATTAAACAGAAGTCCATGTGGAGTTGTAAAAACTAATCTTTAAGGGGCCACTGGACTTCTGTTGAATTTTCCTGCAACAGACATGCATGGTGACTACTCTGGAATGATGATTGTAGAAGGTTGAAAGTCTTTTGGCTTTTACCTTAAGTCGCCAGAGCCAATCTTCAGTTATGATTCTTTAAAAAAACAAAAAAAAAACAAAATTGTGTAGAAATAAAGCAAAGTAACAGCTGTTGCTGAAATACAGAGAAGTAGTAGCTATTGGTGAAACGCAGCAGTCGGTTTTGTGATGTGGTCGTGCCAATTGGTTAGCAAGTTGGTTCTTCCTGTTGGCAGGATCCTGCAGTTCTGGCAGGTGGCCAGCGAAGGTGAGGGTGAGGTAAGCTAACTAATGCAACCGGCGTTAAATTGAAAAGGGAAGCTCTCCACCCACAAAGTGGCATTCTTGGCTTCAGAGAATACCTGACCGTATTAGGTAAAGTTCAAATGACAGGGGGTCATATATACCCATATGTGATCAGTCAGCTGATTTGCACAGAGACCCATGTGCACGAGTCTGCATATATCAGTGGGTTTTCTCCAGGTTCCCATAGGTGTTCTGCATGCTGGAATATTTCAAGAAGCTAGATTTACTGACTGCCTCATTTGACATGCATCTTTCTCCAATGGAAAAGCCGCTTAAGACTCCTTAAATTGGAGGAAGGCCTCAAACCTGAGCCAAATGGAGAAGTGGGCCAAAAATATTTTAATAAATAAACTTTTCTCAGTGGAGCAGAAGGGTTAGCATTTGCCACAGCAGCTTTTTGGAAGGAGAATAAAAGCCTTGCTGAAGTGATTTCCCTTCTAGCAGTCACAGCCAGTTCATATGATGTACAGGCAGGGCTGTCCAGGTACAAATTGCATTCTGGAAAAGGTTCCACCCCACCCAGACAGTCTTCTCTCTCAGCCCCACCTACCTCACAGGGTGTCTGTTGTGGAGGGGTGGGAAGGGAAGGGAAAGGAGTTTGTAAGCCGCTCTGAGACTCCTTTGGGTAGTGAAGGGCAGGGAATAAATCCAGTCTTCTCCTCCTCCTCCTCCTCCTCCTCCTCCTCCTCCTCCTCCTCTTCTTCTGATCTCAGTTTCCTGGGAGAAAACGGCTGCTTTGGAAGGTGGACCTTGTGGTGGTATAGTCTGCTGCAGGGGTCATTTCGTAGAAAAAGAGCTAGGGGAACTCATTAGCATAACTCATTAGCATATGCCACACCCCCTGACATCACCGGAAGTGTGTCATAAGGCCACACCCCCTGACATCACCGGAAGTGTGTCATAAGGCCACACACACCACCCCCAACGGTCCCGGCTGCCGCCGCCGGCCTTGCAGCTCCACTGCTGAGCCCCATGAGGGTCCCGGCGGTGGACCTGCAAGGCCGGCGGGAGTGCAAGGAAGCCCCGCGAAGGCCCTCTCTGGCCCCAGGGAGGCAGGGGTGGGGAGAGGCAGGGAGGAAGCAACTTACCCTCCCTCTTCTCCTGCCTCCTCCTGGCTGAATGAGGGCCGGAAGCGGGGCGGCCGGAAGCAAGGGGCGGGACTTCGTCATGTGCCCCGCCCCCCGTACTTCACCCGGGGGAAACGTGTTCCCCCATGTTTCCCTCCGAAATGACCTCTGGTCTGCTGAGGTCTCACCAAGGAATTCAGGATACTGTACATAGTCCTTATTTTGCCCTCGCCACAAGCAGATGGGATTTGAACTCGGGTTTCTCTGATCCGAGGCTGACGTTTCCACCGCCATGCTGCACTGACGTGTACTTTGTGCTGTTCTCAATGTTTGAATTAGCTCTGATGAGAACATATGAACATGGGGTTTGGTGGGGTTGTTCTAGTAATTACTGCCTTGTCCTATGGTTTGCCATAGTCGTAGAAAAACCTATAGCAATAATCTCGGGAGCTCAGTTGCACCTGGGCCATACCCTGAAGGACGGGAACATTCAGTCCTGGGTCAGACTTCCCTGCGCTGGGGAAGTTACAAGTTGGGGCAACAGTTCTTTGTTTCCCGTGGAGCCCGAGGAAGAATCAGAGCCCGACCCAAGAATCAAAAGGCTTGTAACCAGTGTTCCCTCTAAGCTGAGTTAGTGTGAGCCAGCTCACACTTTTTTAGCCTCCGGCTCACAGATTTTTTGTCTTCGCTCAGGAAGGGACGGCTCCAGAGCGAACTGGTTTAGGCAGTAGCCAAATCGCCGGCTCACAACTTTAAAGCCAGTAACTCACAAAGCAGACTTTTGGCTCACACGACTCCACAGCTTAGAGGGAACATTGCTTGGAACTATGGCTTGCTTTGTCGTCGTCCCCCTGGAAACGTGGTAGGGCTGTTCTCATTTACATCCACGCACGGACTCTAATGTGGGAGAACCGGGTTTGATTCCCCACTCCTCCACTCGCACCTGGCTGGATGACCTTGGGCAAGCCATAGTTCTGGCACAGCTGTTCTTGGAAAAGAGCAGTTTCTGTCAGAGCTCTCTCAGCCCCACCTACCTCCCAGGGTGTCTGTTGTGGGGAGGGGAAGGGAAAGGAGTTTGTAAGCTGCTCTGAAACTCCAAATGAAGGGCAGGGTATAAATCAAATTCCTCCTCCTCCTCCTTCTCTCCCAGTATTTCTCACTGTATCCCCCAAAGCGTGGTCGTAAAGATACTTTTTCTTGGGAATTTAAATTTGGAGGCACACTTCATGTTTAGGAAGGCTTTTTTGGTGGGCTGTCAGAGAAACCCGCCATTTCTGTCCCCATTTGCTGTGCTTGCCCCCGACTGAAATCAGTGCTCTGCACTGACTCACACAGAGATGCAGCAGGCAGCTTCCAAAAGACAGGTAACATAGTTCTGTTGATCCAACTTACGGCCTTAGGGTGAGAGTATTAACTCTTTGACCCCCTCCTTTCCGTCTGTTTTGAAAGGGCTTTTCTGGAGCAAGGGGTTGGGGGGGGCAGGCAAGAGAAGAGCAAACTAGGATCTGGATGACTGCCACTTGTGGCATCTTCCTTCCTGCTGCCCCCTGCCCGGCCAAAAGAAACCATAGCTCCCTGGCAGTGTTCCCTCTAAGCTGAGTTAGTGTGAGCTAGCTCAGTTTTTTAGCCTCCGGCTCACATATTTTTGCCTTCACTCAGGAAGGATGGCTCCAGAGCAAACTAATTTATGCAGCGGCCAAATCGCTCGCTCACAACTTTAATGCCGGTAGCTCACAAAGTAGAATTTTTGCTCACAAGACTCCACAGTTTAGAGGGAGCATTGGTCCCTGGTAAAAAGCCTGGCTGGCCTGCAAACCCCTCAGATTTAATACCTGGCATCTCCAGAGATCCTTCCCTGCTGGAGACCCTGGCAAGCGTTGCCAGCCGGAGCAGACGATAATAAACTTAGTGCCGCTAACAAGCAGGGCATCTTCATTTCCTAATTCATTAAATCAATTTGGACTTCTCGTAAATAGATCCTGCAGCCGTGTTTAACCACTGGAGCAAGAGGGTTGCTTTTAATTAAAAAGAGAGAGCTCTTTTCTAATTAAAAGAGAACTCTGATGTAAAAACTGTTGCCCGGGTAACAGAAGTCCTTTACTGGGAAACGATTCCCTCCCCCCCCCTTTTAAATAGCAGAAGTGTTTGTGTGTGTGTGTGGGGGGTGTCTTGTGTTGCAAGGAACCCTGGGAGTTTTCATTCTTGAGTCTCTCCCCTCATTCCTTTCTGTGGCTGCCAGATGTTGGGAGTTCTTGGGACTGTGCCGGACCCTCCGGGTAACTTCAAAAACAGCCGGCACGAGTCCCAGAGGACGGAGTGGCCACAGCGCCTTGGTATGCTGGCCCCGCTGCCTTTTGACGGGAGGAGGCCGGCGGCTGGCTGCAAGCGCCAAGGGGGATAGGATGAGAACCTGTGGGCGCATCCGTCTGCAGAGCAGAGTTTAGCCTCTCCCGGCTCCCCGCGGCTGGCATGAAACTGCGGGGTCTCGGGAGCCCCGCCACGATTCCAAGCTCACCATGGGCTGTACGTACTCCGGAC